CAAGTCTGAAATTATCACAAAACTGTATTTAAACATTCTTAGAGCAAAGCACAATCTGCCCATACTATTGCTGCTTTTGCAGAATGATGTATTCTTGTAGTTGTTCCTCATTTGTAAACATGCCTGGAAATGCAGCATATTTCTTGTACAAACCTATGAAAATATTAACTTACTAAAATATATTTTTAGTGAATAATTGCCACGTGTTGTGAGACTACCCAGTAGCGCAATGATATTGTCATTAATAAATTGGAACAAATCTGCAATCGAACCAGTACGCACAGTAAAACTGACCCAAATTGAACCCTCCACAGATTCAGTTTTTAAAAAGTTTGAGCTGAGTGTTATTTACTGTTTTAAAGAACAACAACAAAATTACATTTGTATAGCGCCTTTCACGTCGGGAGGACATCCCAAGGTGATGGACAGTCAGAGTTTCGGACCCGAACTGGGGAGGGTGGAGGGCAGGGGGGGATGCAGGGTGATCGAAAGCACGGTCGAAGAGGAGGATCTTCAGATGGGTCTCAAGAAGATGTTTTTATTCATGTACAACAACCACATAAATGGTATTAAATGTCCTATTGCTGCTTGTGTACTGCATAAGTCCTGCATTGTAGGAAGAGCAAAGTGGTCCCAAAACAGGGTATGTTGTGAAACTGCAGCAATACTAGGCATGCAACTCCTCAATATGAGATCCCGCTCATAATATAGTTGGCTTTCCTGTAATAGCTCCTTATACATACCCTGTTAGACCAATTCCCTTTGTACCATGGAAAAATAAAGCTGGAACACAAAGCTACTCTCGAGGTATTCCTGAAATATTTAGAGGGGTTGTAACTAACCTTTAGGAAAAGTATTTCCAGCCACCGAGCCATTACGATTTGTGGAACTTGAATCTCACTCAGAGATGAGCGTTCAGTCTGAAGAATTGTAATAATTTGATTCAGTAAGTTTAAAGTAACCACTTCTGGCAGTGTCGTTAATCGTTTTTATCTCTGTGAAACCCTGGCAGATGTGGGGAAGGGTGGAGCCCCGTGTTTACCTCTGTGGCACAGCGCTTTAGTAACCTGCTTAAAATATACCAACTTCTCGGTCTGCAGTGTGCTGTCTGCGAGAATCAACAGCTCTGGGTTTGTAAATAAAGTTGTAAAGGGCATAAGCTAAATATGTAAAACCAACACACTTTGTAAAACAAAGACCAAATAACCTCTTCAATATTTATTGACCTGAAAATCCAGGACCAAATATGTCCCTTGTGACTTCCTGAGATTAAGTTTTGACTCAAAGGTTTTTGTAAGGAAAATTGGTAACATAGCGGTGACGCCCTGCCATTTTGAGTGAGTGTCACAGAGCCTTGCAGGGTTCCCCGTGGACTAGTATTGCCGCTGAAAAACAAGCCAGTTGTGGCATGGAGCATGGAGAACATAGCTGATAGCAACAGACGTTCACTACTGTCCAAGGCTGTCCTAAAAGTCTATCTCTACACTGCCAGGGTGTAGTAGAACAGTGACCTGGTTGTAAAATGTCTTCAGTATTTTATGTGCTAAAATAAATAGTGGGGAAACTTGCACTGCAGTGTGATCATTTACATGGCAATAACAGGAATACCTTCAGAGCCAACATTGCAAGAATGAAAAATGTAACACTTAAATGTTTGTGCGTCACAGAAATATATTCCCAGAGGTATGGCAGCGTTAATTGTTCCTCTGCATAAGGATCACTTTCACCCAACCCTCCCAAGTTAGTTTTGTTGCATACCTAATAAAAATGAATTGAAATCAGAATGTTTACAGTATAACAGGAAGCCATTTGGCTTTGTGTCTGTGCCAGTGCTTGCTCTCCCGCTAGTGCTCTAATTCCATTCCTGTTCTCTTTCCCCCTTGTGTCTGTACTGGTTCTCACTCCCCCACTCTCCACTCTAATCCTATTCCGATCCTCTGTCCCCATTGTCTACGTGCTAGTCTAACTCCCCATTAAGAGCTCTGTAATCCCATTTCACTGCTCACACTTGATCTGCTTAATATTGTCAACTGAAAAAANTCTTTCTCTCCCCTTCCGTAAAATAGATCATCAGTAGAGAAGGGAAGAAGATTGAACTGCTGTCGTGAATTATTCTAATGTCAGCACGAAGTCCGAACTTAAATTGGCCCACATTTGTCGACTGGTAGACAGAAATTGAAACATTAAACATGTGTCTGGTGCCTTTGGTATGAAGAATTATTGTGGTTGCAGCGGATCACCTAAAACTGAGATTATCATTCTGGCGACATCAAACCCCAAAACTTTGTGAAATGACACGAGCTTTGTTGTAATTATTCAGGTGAAATGTTTAGCAGAGTTGATGTGTGCAGTACCTACTCGCTTGGTTAGTGAACCAGCCACATATGATCCTAAAACAGCCGACGTACGCATCTCTACTGGAAATGTTTGCAGTGAGTGGTTTGCGGCTGAACTACTTGGCACTGTTTTTTGTAGTCTAATCTGACTTTATTAAATAAAGTGCTGAAAAGCGATAGTTGTTTGGAAGAATGCTACCCACAGTGGCTTTCCACAGTATGGTAGGTGTACCTATCACGAGTAAACAGAAACCTCCATGGAAACAGATGGAGATGTGCAGTCAGATAGGTCCCTTTGACAAAAGTTTGATATTGGAACAATGAAAAATAAAATATCAGTGTGATCTACTGGAATTGATGCATTGAGGTCTGAATCTTCTTAACATTCATGTTTTTCCTCAGTTACTTTTTTGCAGATTTTTTTAATGATATACATGGAAATATTTTCCTGTACGACAAATTCTTCTGTAAATTTTCTTGCTGATTTCCACAGGCATCAACCATCCTCTTCTACTTTCCATTCTTTATATTCAAACCTTAGATACCACTGTTGGGGGGGGCAGAAGGGGTATTATGATTTATTTCTTCACCCACAGTCGAGACATCGATGGATATTGACCAGAAGTGTGAACTCTGGCTGATTTGGCAAATTGTGGTGGCCTCAACTGTTGTTGTTGTTAAAACCAACTTAATCAGCACCAAGCTGGAATGGAATTTGTCACCGTCCTCTCAGCATGGCTGGCTCAGCACTGAGACTGTGCCGTCTTTTAACTCTTCCTCTAAAATGAAAATATCCCATGGACAGTTGGATCTCATTTGCTACACACCAGATCAATGATACCACTTGCTGGAGCCCACATGTGCTCACCACAGCTTCACATAAACTATGGTGTCTGTCTACCTGGGCTCAGAAACTGATGTGAAAATTTCTACGGTGACTAATTTAATGAAATAATGTGTTTTTTAAAAGAAGTGCTTTTGCCTTTATTATTTGTGTAATATTTTATTTTATGGATTACTTTAATCAGCTGGTTAGAAAACGGCAGTGTGAATTTGAGCAGATGAAAAGGTGGCGAATGTTTGAATATCAACAGCTGTGCATGCTACAGAATATCCTGCACAGGTCTGTGTTCCCTTAGCAACTACGCAGCTCAAGCCCTGAACTGCAATTAAAGTAGTCCCTCCAGTGCTAGTTGCAAGAGCGACAGCCAATAGCCAGTTTGGGCTCCTTTGAGAAAATGTCAAGTCTTCCATTATATCACTATTTGTATCACGTCAACCAGTGGCAAGTCCACCTCACTCTTAATGTCTCTTTATTGATCTGTTCTGATTTACTGCAATTTTCACATGAACTAACTGTTTGTATCCATCATTGGGGACTACGTGATATTTACCTGTAGAGTTGTATTATTTAACCAGGTTCTCTGTTGAATAAATATCCTAATTGGTCCCCAATATGTTCACGTGGCTTATTGGATTGATATCTTACTGGAACTTAACTCGAGTAAATGTGCACTTTTCAATATGGTGCCAACCAAACACAGGCCTTCAGAATATGGAATAGATTGCCCTAGAAAGTCATAGGCTGGGCCAATAGGAAGGTCCTGCTGCACAATCCGCCAGAAACAATCTCCTCCGCTACAAACCTGCTATAAATGTATTTTTTTTGCCCGCGGGCCTCCCGGCTGTTTACCTGATGTCACTGTGGAAGGGACAACTCCGGCACACATGTGCGGTGCAAGCGGCAAATGGGCTTCACTCAGAGGCCCTGATATTGTGTGTGTGTGTAGTCTCTATAATGCCTTTATATGCGTTTGTGAGTATCTGTGTGAGTATGTCTGTCTCCCTCTCCTCTGTGTATTTGAGTGTGCCTGTATGTATCTCTATGTGAGTGTCTGTGTCTCTCTGAGAATGTGTGACTGAGTGTGTGTGTCTCGCTCTGTCTGAGTGTGTGTGTGGCTTTGAGTGTGTGTCTCTTTCTGTATCCCTGAGTGTGTGTGTGTGTGTCTGAGTATGTATGTGTGTGTCTCTCTGTGTGTTGCTGGGCCCTGTGAGCTCCTGTAGCCTCCCTAGTGTACACCCCCTCCCTGCAAAAAAGGTCACCCAGTTTTTGTTAAAGAAGTAATTCTTTTTTTTGCAACAATCTAACATGTTATTTCCCCATGTTTAGTTTTTAATAAAGTGAAAAAATACAGGTTGGCAGTAAAATTACCTCAATAGCCCCAATCAACCTCCGCCATTTTCTGCAAAATTTTCCAAACATTGCCCCGCAATGTTCCAAATCTACCCGCATTTTGGGGCAAATATTTCTGCACCTTTCTATTGGCCCAGTTCACAGGCACAGCTTTCAGTTGTTAAAAATAGAGAAATACTTGGTAAGTCAGGATGTTAAGACGTACAGAGAAAAAAAGGGGAAATGGAATCAGATAGCCATAGCCATAATGCTAGAGCAGACTTGACTGGCTGAATGATCCACTTCTGTTCCTGACTTAATTCATCACCTGAACTTGTTCCCAGTGATATCAGCCAGGAACCTGGCACATTCTTATAGTATGTCCTAATGTCGAGTCCAGTCTCGTTAGCTTTTTATTTAAAATAAGATGCTTGGTTGCTTGCTCAATCTTAAAGTGCCTGGCTTTGATTCCTGATGCTTTTCTTTTACAGAGAGAACTCGATGCCACAGCCACAGTATTGGCCAATCGTCAGGATGAGAGTGAACAGTCCCGAAAACGGCTTATTGAGGAAAGTCGCGAATTTAAGAAAAACACACCAGAGGTGAGTGAAGCAGAGCTGCAGCACTGTGCGGCGTTCAACACTGGGCTAATGCCCGGCCACCGCAACAACCTGGGAATGCCCTAGTGTAGCCTCTGGCTCTTCTGCACTGAGCAGCACAACTCTGAGATGCTGCTCAGTGGCCAGTGTTTCCCAGGCCTCCTTAGCTCCGACACATCCTAACATGTCAGTCAGTCTGGCTCAGCTGGTAGCACTCTTGCCTCTCGACAATGTGATAATGTGCTTTATCAAGTGCCGGGATTATTATTATAATACTTACTCCTTCATTGGCCCCAATGGGTGAAAGTATAACCTGGTGCAACACCGCATATAGACCAGAAGGTCACGAGTTCAGCTCTCCACTCAGTCCTGAGTGAACTGATCTTGGACAGAGCAGCAGGCAATTGGCTTCAGTGCCCTTTGATTAGAGAGCAATGGTGTGTGTGGGTGGGGGGTGGGGGAAGAGAGAGCAGCACGAGGGATTGAGAGAGCAAGATTGGGGCTCAGTTCTGAAACCTGTGGTTAAACAGTCTGCCAGTGTTCACTATCACACACAAATAATGGCTGCTTTGGTGAGGTACCAGTGAGGAGAGAACGGCATAAATCTAGCAGAACCTTACATGAGCTTCCCTCTCATCTTGGATTATTTTTGGCAATGGGCATGGCTATGTGATTGACATTTCCAGCACCCAGGAAAAGAACTGCTGTAATGGGACTGGTTTGACATCTGCACCCCTGACCTTGTGCTGCTGAATTCATATCGGGCTGGCGGTGAGGTTGGCTCACAGAGTTGAAGTTAGAGAAACGTTTGTACTTAATTGAGTTACACGTACCACTCTTCACCACTTTTCTTCTCCTTCGGCTGCTGGATGCCATTTTAACTTCCTGTTTAGATGCAATCAATAAAATGCATTTATGGTTATGAATGCAGATGCATATAAAGGCTCATTGGTGGGCTTCTGATCTTTAAATACCAGCTGTGATACTCGTGTCTGTGCTGAAGCTAGCTCTCCTGCTGGAACTATCTTCTCCAATTCCTGAATGGAGTGGCTGATAAGGAGAAGAGCTTCCGTGTTGTTGATCTGATAAAAATATCAAGGTATAATGGAGTCTATTGTTTTATGAAAGCAGAATTGTTGAACATAATGGACATGTTTATCGCTTTGTTTCCTTCATTTGGTGCGCTTATTAAAATGAGATATTTTTGCTGCAGTAACATACCAACGGTAAAAGTGGAGAGTATTTCATTAATTTTTAATCAAACTAATCATTTGAACATATTTTTAATTAGAAATTAAAACACCACAGGAGGCTGTTTGGTCCTTTGAACCTAAATCGGCATTGGGGCCTTCACTGAAGCTAACTACTACTGTATTTCCAATACATTCCCTCACTCCGTGTACCTCTTCAGATGTTTACATGGTTACCTTTTAAAGGTGTTAGCCACGACTGGCAAAGTATTTCCTATTAAATCCTCCTATAAAGTGTGTATCATAATGTTACTGTCGTCTCTTTGAGTTGAGAAATTAGAGATATGGTGGTGGTGTTTGCCAAAGGATGTGTTTATTCTCTAAATCTGTACTTTGCCTGTGTAGCATTGATGTCTCTGCACAGTTTTGTTTTCTGAGCACTGATGTGTAATTAGTGCCGTTTATCATTCTAAATTTAAACTCATGTTGTGCACAAAAGTAAGTTCATGTTTTTTTATTAGATTTGAAATTTTTAAAAAATTCTAGGAGCATTACGGGCTCTGCTGTGAAATGTCATTTTTTTGTCAGTCTGTTTCTCAAACATTCTGCCCAAGCTGGAGCTGCAGTGCTGGTAGAACAGTGGAAAACTTGAAGTCTGCTTTTACTCAACTTTGTCTCGCAAAAAGATAATAAATCTATCGTTTTTTTCGTCTCAATGCCCAGTGTGGTGATTTATACGTGTAATTCATTGCTACATTAATTCTGAAAGTGTTTAATTTGGCAAGAATTGACTTTGAGGCCAATCCTTCAGAATCTAGCTGTTCCTGGAAAATTTTGGGGTAATTTTTGTTCTTTGAAAAACAAGTTTACATCACTTGTTAAAGCTTAAATCAGTTATCAAAAAATAATGACTAAGCACTAAGTCACCAAGAAAATCAGAGTGAAGACTATTTACTTGGAGACTATTATCCAGCTATAAATCGTACAATGTTAATATGTCCTCCTGATAGTGATTGTGTAGTATAATGTTGTGACCTTCCGTCCAACGAGTGAAGCCACCTTGATCTGATAAATGGTACATTAATATGTGATAACAAATTCAAAATGCTGCAGATGCTGTAAATCTGAAATAAAAAGTGGCTGGGAACACTCAGCAGATCAGGCAGCATCTATGGAGAGAGAAAAGTGAGTTGACGTTTCAGGTCGATGACCTTTTATGAGAACTGGTGGAGTGGAGCTTGGCTAGAACTGGTGGGATGGGGTCTGGAGTTTAGTACCGGTGAGTATGTGGGCGAATGAGTTGGATGCTGTACATGGTGGAGCTGGGGAGACCGGCAAAGAGAACATTTGAGAAGTCCAGGTGGGAGGTGATGAACGCAAGGACGAGTTTTTCGCTTGCATCCAGTGTAAGGTACGATTGGAGGCGGGCAAATGTGGTGAAGATGGTCCTGGTCAGGTCTCGGATGTAGGGAAGGAAGGATAGCTGGGGGTCGATCCTCACGCCTAGATTGTGCACTGGTTTGTTAAGTCTGAGGGATATGCTGGGGAGGTTGAGGAGGTCAGGACCACAGGATAGAAGATGTTGACAGGAGCCAATGAGTATGAATTCCGTCTTGTCAACATTGAGTTGTAGAAAGTTCTTGCTCATCCCAGGCCCTGATGTCTACTAGACAGGCCAGAGGACCTGAAGTCGTAGCTGGAGGAGGATAAGCAGATTTGTGTGTCATCGCTTATGTGGAAGTTTACCCCATGACATTGCCAAGAGGGAGCATATAGATGAGGAAGAGGAAGGGGCCAAGGATGGAGCACTGGGGTACACCACAGGTAACTGGGCGGGGGTGGGAGGAGAAACCGTTTGAGGAGATAAAGTGAAGGTGGTTTGTTAGGTAGGACTTGAACTAGGCTAGTGCGGTCCCACTGAGGTGGATGAGGGAGGAGAGGAGGCAATGGATGAGGATGGCGCAGTTGACTGTAAGAAAGCAAATGTGTTCTGTCTTGTCCCACGCTTGCCTCCTGCAACCACCCACTGTCCTACAGAAAGGCAGTGACATCTGGGTTGGAGTTTTTTTTGCTGGGCATCCCATTGCTTTGCTATTCCCACACTGAAATGCACACATTGCTCAGCTGTGAGCTGCTGTGGCAGAGCAGTCTACCCTGTGGGTCAGACTAAGAATTGGCGAATGGGAATGCTTTAGTCAATGCAGTGAGCTGCTTGAAGTGAGGCCCAAGACAACAGTATTTTTTCACATCAGAATAATATTCTACAAGTTGTAAGTTTGTTCTGGAGAAGGTTATTACATTTTTACTCAGTAATAATCTACAGTATAGTGTGATTTTAAAACCAGCACAATCCTGTCCTCCAGGTCAGCGCTTCTCTGGGATCATCAGACCTCAGTTTGCTTCTGCTGTTTGGCTCAGTGTGCTGAGCAGTGCACTTACCCAGGTGCCTATCAGAGCAGCAACTATATAACACACAATATATTCTTTAATTCTGGAATATTCTTTAATTTCCATGTTCCTGTAACCAATTATGTAAGTTATTTTCTTGTAACTGTATCATCTCACCACAGACTTTAATAAATTTTGCACACTATTGCACATCAGTCCATTGTATGGGCATACACACCTTCTTCTGTCCTCTACATTTCTATATCATCGTAATCAGTCCAGTGTGGTCATGTTTCCTAACAATGAGTTTTGAATTTTTTTGCTAAAAGGAGATGGAAACAAACTTGTGTGAAAATTATACCAACGAGATTGTTTGAGGCATGGAGAAGGAGGGAATTGTGGAGACTGATTGATGGATTTCAAACACACCTGCAAAACATCTGTGACTTATTATTCAGATAGAAAATTGTAAAGAAATAGAAACCAAAGCAAGTGTAAATTCAATTTTATTTTCCCCAACCCCATTCTCCTCACACAGGTTCTCTTTAAAAAAAAGAAATGTATTTTCCACAGCAAATGCCTGAATTAAAGTTATTTTCTGTGGATGAGTTGATGAATAGTTCTCACCGGTCCTCCGTTGATGCTGGGCAGTGCAGTGGGTTGATGTGAAACTCTGAGCAACTTGTACATCAAAGCGTTGCTCCAGCTGAGAGTTATTACATACTCCTGCTTCTCAGTGTTGCAACTGAGACTTGTGGCAAAAGGAATTCTGTTCACTGCCCGGAGGAGACTGACGAGCGAATACTGATGTAGCACTTTACTGAATAGAGCTTTAAATAGCCAACTCCAGGGTAACGGGACACGAACAAATACTGGTACTTAATTGGAGTGGGAAGTGTAAAACAGTTACCCAGACACAGGAGATCTTTAAAAGTTAGAATTTGGGTTATGGACTTCATTATTCCATGTGCTGTAGAGCATTCAATCAATAGGAGATCCTGTTATTGTAAGATGAAACTATTTGTTTTGCTCACAAAATATACAGTCAATTCACTTTACAGTATATTCTGTGATGTGCTTTGAGACATCTCAAAGACATGATAAGGCGCTATATCAAATGCAAGTATTATTATCCATAGCTTATTCAATGGACAATAAATACAGTAACGTTGACTTGAAAGAGACGAACTTAGGACATCAGAAGAGTTGAGTCCATTTTAGTGAGGTCTGGACTTGCCAGTGTCCCAATTGTGAGAGCAGGTCCTTTACCTGAGGGAGATATGAGGAAAGGCTTGTGGTACAGGAGAGAATAAATGTTTTGGTAATGGGGTATCTGCGACACCTGCATTCAGTGAATTCATTGTTAAATTTGGGAGATGAATTGTGGCATTCTCATGAGTAGGGGGTCAGTTAGTTTTATTGCAG